TGTACTACTTTGTTTCCTTTAACTCAGGGTGACCTTCACATTTTGATAAATCAACAAAATTTTATATATTAAAGATTTTAGAGCTAAAAACAAAAAGTACCAAGAATTTGCATTGGGAGTAGAAAAGGGGAGAGAACTCATTATTAGTGTGATGAAGAGTGAAAGACTTTAAATATAAAATTTGGAAACTAAAAGTATATTCTGAAAAATTGCCTATTATTCTTTTATTCCAATGGAAATGGTATTACCATTCATATGTCTTTCTTCCTATTATAAAAGTGGTACTTGTTTGTTATAAAAAACATAGAAAATGAAAGAAAGCATAACAAAAATGAAAAAAAATTAACTTGTAAATTCTTACCTAAATAAAACATGTTTATAGACATTTCCTTGCAGTATCTTTTCCCATGCATATATTCATTTATTCATATTCTAATATATCATACCATATACTGTATATAGCTTTGAATTTGAATTATATTCTGATTTTTTCATTACATCACCTTTCCCACATCTTTAAATATTTTTTCAAAGCCTGATTTTTAATGATTACATAATAATGTATCATATAGATGTATTGTAATTTATATTATGATTTTCTTACTCTTATTTAGATGGTTTACAAGTTTTCAACATATGAAAATGCCACAAAAATAAATTCTTACACATATCTCTAGTTATTTCTTTAGTATAAATTGCTAAACAGGGAATTACTGAGTCAAAAGGCATAAACATTTTTAACCTCTTGGATACACTGCCAAACTGCTCTTTAGAAAAATTTAACTAATTAAAACTTGGGTTAAGAATGCTCATTTTTGCTGCAAACTCATCAACATGGGATTTTTTTAAAAATTTGCCACTTTAATAAACAAAAATTCTCACTATGCCTTATTTTCATTTCCATTCATTTAATATGTGAGAGTGGACACTTTTCTCCAGATATATGTAAAACTCTTATAATACTTACTAAATAAGCAAACCTGTAAATTCATTTGTGCTGGTATTACATACTACATACTCTAAATACTTTGGAGACAGACTGTACAAGGATTACTGCTAGTAATAAATAATTTGGAAGAACTCTGAAACCCTTCTTCTCACTTAGATTTTTCTTATCACCGAAACAAGAAACACATGAGAGAAGAAAAATTATGACAGAGGAAGATATGAGTTAAATTTTGGTGCCAGTTAATTTGAAGTGCCACTGGAGTCACTAAATAGAGGAATTGAGTAGACTATGGATATAAAGGTCTAGAATACAGGACTTGACTAGGTGTAGAGATCATAGAGTTATTTATTTATATGATAATTCAAGCACAGGAATGGTTGAGATTAGGTACAAGAATGTGTCAAGAGGGAAAGATTGCGTCCTAGGACAGAACACTGAGGAACAACATTTCACAAACAGGCAGAAACACAAGATCTCACAAAGAAGAAAACAGGAATGGCCAAAGAAGTGGTAAGAAAATCAGGAGACTTGGCCGGGCATGGTGGCTCATGCCTGTAATCCTAGCACTCTGGGAGGCCAAGGTGGGAGGATTGTTTGAGCTCAGGAGTTTGAGATCAGCCTGAGCAAGAGCGAGACCCCGTCTCTACTAAAAAAATAGAAAGAAATTAGCTGGACAACTAAAAATATATAGCAAAAATTAGCCAGGCATGGTGGCGCATGCCTATAGTCCCAGCTACTAGGGAGGCTGAGGCAGTAGGATCGCTTGAGCCCAGGAGTTTGAGGTTGCTGTGAGCTAGGCTGATGCCACGGCACTCTAGTCCAGGCAACAAAGTGAGACTCTGTCTCAAAAAAAAAAAAAAGAAAGAAAGAAAATCAGGAGACTGAGATGTCATGGAAGAAGGAAGTAGAGTTAACCCTTGAACTACATGGGTTTGAACTGTGTGGATCCACTTACAGGTGGATTGTTTTTCAACCAAATATAGATCAAAATACAGTATTCATTGAATGCAAAATCTGTGTATAGGGAGGGCAAATGTTTTCTATACACAGGTTCCACAGGGCCAACTGCAGGACTCGAGTGTGTGTGGATATAGGTATATGCGAGTGGTCTTGGAACCAACCCCGCATTTATACTGAGGGACGCTGTAGTAAATAGTGTGAGAATCATCCATGTAACAAAAAACACTTGTACCCCCTAAATCTACTGAAATAAAAAATAACAATACAAAAATAAAAAATAAAAAAGATGATAATCTCTGAGTTGTACCTACTGCATTTGGCCAGGAGGAGGTTCTACATGACCACAATAGCATTTTCAGTGGTATTCTGGAGGCAGAAGTCAGATCACAGTGAGTAAAGGCATGAATGTGAAAGAAGTGGAGATAAGTGCAGACAAATATTTCAAGCAGTTTTGCTCTGCAAGGACAGAAATAGAAATGTAGTGTTTAGGGTAGACATAGTTTTTTTATTAAGAGAGAACAGAATTGAGCATGTCTCGATATATTTAGAAAGGAGAGTATAGAGAGGAGAGGTTAAAGACACAAGAAAGAGGTGATGTCACAGAAATGGTGGAGTAGAGACCTGCAAGAATTGGCTCTTTCACTGAAGCAAATATTAAGTTAGCAAGAACTGACAGAATCAACTTTTTGGAATTCTGGAATCTAATCAAACACAACAATGAAGGGAGTTCTTAATGAAGAAGCCATTAAAATTCAGTAAGAAAGCATTGTGGTATTTTTTTGCTTACCCACCCACCACCCCCTCACTCCCCAGATCTGCAGCAGTAGTGGGGATAGCAGCCCACATTCTTAGCATAGCTCACTGGTACCAGCAGGGGTTGGGGGGGTACTATATGAGCTTTGTTCTTAAATATTGTGGTTGGCATACTGACATGTCTGGTAGTTCTCTGAAGGACTGGCAAAGAAGCTGACCTTTGTTTCACCCCTCAAGTTAGAGTGGTTTTGCTTTTGCCCTACAGCTGCCCGGGGCAAGAGGCAACACAAAAGCCCTCAAAATAGCAGGTTAAGGAGGAAGTTTCTGGGAGGAATAGGGCTTGTAAGAACTACCTCATATACTGGAGAATCTGCAGTGAAATGCACGTGCCCAGGGCTGGATACATGCTCAAAAGAAACCTGAGAAGACTATGCCTGCACTGTTGGCTGATCTTTGGGCCCTGATCTTTGGATGAAAGCTAAGGCAGTTTTAGGCAGCCCAGCTTAGCTTTGAAGGAGTGCTTCAACTCAGAGACAATCTGCAAAGACTAGGAGAGTTTTATTTTTCTTTTTAGCTGTAGGCATTTAAGGAAATCTCTCTCTGTCAGGTAACTGCTGAGATAACATAACAGAGACTTCAGCTGCCACCAAAAAAAGGAATACAGCCTTTGCAAAAGTAGTTTGGAAAAGTCATTAAAAAGACCGCTGAAGTCATCAACAAATAATACAAACCCTGGGGAAGGGGTAGAATCCAATTTCTAGACTTACCACATTATAATATCCAAAATGGCCAATTTCAACAAAAAATTACAAGGCATATAAAGAAATAAGAAACCATGGCTCATTCATAGGAAAAAAAATAATTGACAGACGCTATCCCTAAGGAAGCCCAGATAAGACTTTGGACTTAACTGACAAAGACTTTAAATCAATTGTCTTGAATTTGCTCAAAGAGGTATAGGAAACCATGGACAAAACTAGAGGAAACCAAGAGAACAATGTATGAACAAAGAGAGAACATCAATAAAGAGGTAAAAAGGAACCAAATGGAAATTCTGTAGCTGAAAAGTGTAACAGCTGAAATTTAAAAATTCACTAGAGAGGTTCAACAGCAGATGTGAGCAGACAGAAGAAAGAATCAGCAATCTGGGTGACAGGACAACAGAAACTATCCAGTCTAAAAAGCAGAAAAAAAAAAAAAAGACATGCATGAAGAAAAATGAATAGAGCCAAAGGGATCAGTGCGATACCATCAAGCATACCAATATACCTATTAAGGGAGTCTCAGAAGGACAGGAAAGAGAAAGGGACAGAAAAAATATTTGAAAAAATAATGGCTGGAAACTTGCCAAATTTCATGAAAGACATGAATCTACATGTCCAAGAAGCTTGATGTGCTCTAAGTAGGAAAAACACAAAGATACATTATGATCAAACAACTGAAAGACCAAACAAAGAGAATCTTAAAAGCAGGAAGAGAGAAGCAATTCATTAAGTGTAAGTGATCTTTAATAAGATTAACAACTGATTTCTCATCAGAAACCATGGAAGCCAGAAAGCATTGGGATGGTATATTTAAAGTGCTAAAAGAAAATAACTGGCAATCACAAATTCTATATCCAGCAAAACTGTTTTTTTAAAAATGAAGAAATTGACATTCCCAGATAAACAAAAACTGGACCTACCTTACAAGAAATGCTAAAGAGAGTCCTTCAGACTGCAGCGAAATGGACATTAGAGAGTAACTCTAAGCCATGTGAAGAAATAAACAATTTCGATTAAGGTAACTACATGGGTAAAGATAAAATCAGTATTACTATATTCTTGGTTTGTAACTTCTCTTTTGTTTCCTATGTAACTTAAAAGAACAATGCATAAATAATAATTATAAATCCATGTTAATGGGCAATGTATAAAAATGTAATTTGTGACAATAACATAAAGGGGGAAATGGAGCTATATGCTATTAAAGCTAAGTTGGTAAAAATTCAAGCTAGATTGTTATTAATTTAGGGTATGAATTATAATTGCCTTGGCAACTACCAAAATATGACTGAGAAATATACAAAAAAGGAAATGGGAGTGAATCAAAAGGGCACACTAAAAAAAATCATCAAACACGAAAGAAGGCAGTATTGAAGGAAGTGAATAACAAAAAAAGATATGACACAGAGAATATAAATGGCAAAATGGTAAAAGTAAGCTCTTCCTTATCAGTAAATGTAAATGGATTAAGATCACCAACTAAAAGATAAAGACTAGTAGAAAGGATAAAGTAAAATAATCCAACGATATGATGTTACAAGAGACTCACTTTAGATTCAAGACACAAATAGGTTAATCATAAAAGGATAGAAAAAGATATTCTGTATAAACAGTAACAAAAAGAGAGTAGGCATGGCTATATCAATACTAGACAAAATAGACTTTAATAAAAAATTGTTGCTAGAGACAAAGAAGGACATTATATGTTGACAAGAGTTAATTCATCAAGAAGATATAACAATAAGCATGTACTTACCAAACAAGGCCCCAAAATACATGAATAGTGACAGAATTGAAGGGAGAAATGGTTCTACAATAGTTGGAGAATTCTATACCATACTTTCAATAATGACTAGAATATCTAGACAGAAGAGCAATAAGGAAATAGAGGACTCGAACAGCACAATAATCCATCCAGACTGAACACACATATATAGACCCCACCCACAAATAATACACAAGCTTCTGAAATGCACATGGAGCATTCTCCAGGATAGACCATATATTAGGCCATAAAATAAATCTCAATAAATATATCTTCTCTAACCACAGTGGAATTAAAGTAGAAATCAATAACAGAAAGAAGACTAGAAAATTCAAGAATATGTGGAAATTAAACAACATACTCTTAAACAACCGATGAGTCAAAGACAAAAACATAAGGAAAATTAGAAAATACTTTGAGATGAATTAAAATGAAAACATAATTGGATGCAGCAGAAGCAGAGCTCAAAGGGAAATTTATAGCAGTAAATGCCTTCAGATCATAAGATCTGAAATCAACAATCTAACTTTACAGTATCCTAAGGAACTAGAAAAAAGAAGAGCAAACTAAACCTGAAGGCAGCAGAAGAAAGGAAATAATAAAGATTAGGGAAGACATCAGTGAAATAGAAAGCAGAAAAAAATACAAAATCAAAAGTTTATTCTTTGAACAACAAAATTGACAAAACTTTAGATAAACTGACTAAGAAAAAAGAAAGAAGACACAAATAACTAACATTGGAAGTGAAAGTAGGGACATTACTACTGAACTTACATAAATAAAAATGATTTATAATCACACACTATGATTGTACTATAATTATATACATATACCTATGAACAATTATTCACCAACAAATACACTGATTTCATACCAACAAAGATTAAGTATACAAATTCCTAGAAACACACAAATTACCAAAACTGACTCAAGAAGAAATATAAAATCTGAACAGACCTATAACAAGTAAAGAGATTGAATCAGTAATTAAAAACCTTCCAGCAAACAAAAGTCCAAGACCTGATCTTCATTGGTAAATCTACCAAACATTTAGAGACTAATTAACACCAACCTTTCTCAAATTCTTCCAAAAAATATAAGAACACTTCCTAACTCATTATATGAGGCCAGCATTCTCTATTTTTTTTGAGACAGAGTCTCAAAATGTTGCCCGGGCTAGAGTGCTGTGGCATCAGCCTAGCTCACAGCAACCTCAAACTCCTGGGCTCAAGGGATCCTCCTGCCTCAGCCTCCCAAGTAGCTGGGACTACAGGCACTCACCAGCACGCCTGGCTAATTTTTTCTATTTTTTAGTAGAGACTGTCTTGCTGTTGCTCAGGCTGGTCTTAAACTCCTGAGCTCAAGCAATCCTCCTGCCTCAGCCTCCCAGAGTGCTAGGATTACTGGCGTGAGCCACCACACCTGGCCAGCATTCTCTGATAATAAAGCTACACAGACACCAGAAGAAAACTACAGACCAATATTTCTTAAGAATATAAATGCAAAAATCCTCAATAAGTTCTAGCAAACCAAACCAAACAGCATATTAAATGAGTTATACACCATGATGAAGTGAAATTTATCCCAGGAATGCAAGGGTGATTTAATATACAAAATCCATCAATGTAATACACCACATTAATAGAGCGAAGGGGGAAAAAAACTTCGTGATCATTTCAATTGATGCCAAAAAAAAAGTATTTAAGAAAATACAATACCTTTTCATGATAAAAACACTCAGAAGACTAGGAATAGAAGGGAACTTCCTCAACATGATAAAGACAGTTTATGAAAAATTCATATCTACCAGCATACTCAATGGTGAAAGACTGAAAACTTTTGCCCATATTGGCTTGCTATGGCTGCCATAACGAAATACCATAGACTGGGTGGCTTAGACAACAGAAATTTATTTTCTCATAGTTCCGGAGTCTAGAAGTCCAAGATCAAGGTGTCTACAGGTTTGGTTTCTTCTGAGGCCTCTCTCAGCTTGCAGGTAGCTTGGTCTGTTGCTGCCTCCTCACATGGTCATGCCCCTGTGCAAATGTGCCCTGGCATCTCTTTGTGTGTCCAAATTTCCTTTTCTGACAAGGGCACCAGTCAGAGTAGATGAGGGCCCACCCCAAGGGCTTCATTTTAATTTAATCACCCATTTAAATGCCTGATCTCCAAATATGCTTACATTCTAAGGTACTGGGGGTTAGGACTTTAACATACGAACTTGGAGGGGATACAATTCTGCCAGTAACTGTTCCTAACAGCAGGAACAAGACAAGAATGCTCACTTTTGCCCCTGCTATTCATCACTGTACTGGAAGTTCTAGCTGGAGCAACTAGGCAAAAAGAAGTAAAAGGCATCCAAATTATAAAGGAAGAAGTAAAACTATCACTATTTGCAGATGATGTGAGCCTATATATTCTATATAGAGAAACAGAGAACTCTAGAACATAAGCAAGTCAGTGTGAGACAAGCAAGTGGTGACGAGCACTAGGTAGTTGGACGCAGAGGGCTGGGGCTAGAGCAAACGTCTGGCTGCGGACTTACATGCTGGATAAGGACCTGTACGTGTAAACGAAGCTACGGGAGAAGATCAGCTCAATGGCCTTGGGATAACGTAGCACAGAGAAAAGACCAGTACCAGGCATTTTGAGGACATGAGGAAAAAAAAGGAACTAGAGAGAAAGAAAACCAGGAAAGTACACTGACCTAAATCAAGGAAAGCAAATATTTCAGTGAGAGAGGTGTGAATGCTACTGAGAGGTCAAATGAGATGGAAATATTTACTCTTCGGCTTAGAACATTTTTTGCTTTGGGGATGGCTAAATTTATATTCATCCTTTAGGTTCCAGCTGAGTTACTTCTTTTAGCCAGAATTGCCGGATTCCTAATTCTGTCTTGTGTACCCATCCTTTGTGTACCCTATACATACCCCTGTCGTAGCATTTATCACTCTGTGTTGTAACCGTAATTGCCTATTTACTTGCCCATGTCTCCACCGTACTTGAAATCCATCAAATGTATGAAGAAGCAAGACTGTGGGTCTTGCCTAACACTGTGTCTCCCCTAAATGCAGTCTTTCTCACATTTGGGTCTCACCCTCGCCATAGTACCAAAGTTAGCACTCAGTAAATAGTCGTCAATATTAATTTACTTAGTACCTATTGTATGTTTGAGGGATGTCCTCAAACACACAAGCCTGATTTTAGATACTATTTCAGTTATTAATAACATTGTTTTGTTTTAAAGTATATGGGTCTCTATAAAATAGCTGGATTAAGCCTTCCAGGACTATTCTAGCTTCTCTCTCAGTTGTTTTTATATTATTTGCTATTCAGCTCTTCCAAGCCATTAATGAATCAGACAAGGTCTCTGTCTTCAGGGAGACTCTTTTCTGATTATAGGCAGGTAAAACTTAAGTGAACAAATAAGAATAGAGTATATTTCTTACCATTTCAGTAGTCATCACTTTTGCTACAATATGTGTTATGGTCTTTCCAAAGTCTCTTTTTCCTTTCCTACGCCTCAGAATTCTTGGAAAGAAAGGTCCATGAACTCTATAGTTGAAAACATTTAGTTGTGATTTAATTGACATGAAAAAGACTCAACCTATCCTTTCTTACTAAATAAAAGTTTGGTACTAAGCACCTTTGAGAGACAGGTTTCATGCTTTGAATAAGATGATCAGTGAAAAAAATTAAAATAAGAAAAAAGAGAGAGAAACAGGTTTCATTAATTGTAACCTCATTGAGAGCAATGAGCAACTTGAGAGCAATATAATAACCAGATCTTTTAGATAATTATGTTTAAACCCTTAAACTCTAAAATCTTTTCATTTCAATGGATTGTACCCCTGGAACTCGGCATGCACCCCGACAGCCATTGCCTCGGCCACCTCACCCCCTTCCAGGACAATGGAAAAATTTCCTGATTATACTTTCACAGTTCACTGCGTTGTAGACTCACATGAAGCAGAAATGGCTTATGTCTGTGATAGTGAGGCATAAGAATGTTTGAAGACATGCCTAATTTTAGATATTATTTCCATTATTAACATTGTTTTGTTTCAAAGAATATGGTCTCCATAAAATAGTTGGCTGTTGGCCTCCCAGAACTATTCTAGCTTCTCTCTCAGTTGTTGTTATACTGTTTGCTATTCAGCACTTCTTTTTTTTTTTTTTTTTTGAGACAGAGTCTCACTCTTTTTGCCCAGGCTAGAGTGAGTGCCGTGGCATCATCCTAGCTCACAGCAACCTCACACTCCTGGGCTAAAGCAATCCTACTGCCTCAGCCTCCCCGATGCTAGGATTACAGGCATGCGCCACCACGCCTGGTCCAGCATTTTATATTATTCCATTTTTATCTACTCTTTTAACATATCAACTATACTTCTTTTTAAAAAAAATACTAGTGCACATATGGAAGTAACATTCATTGGACATTGGGCAGGTGGGAGGGGGTGGAGGGGATGGGTAAATTCACACCTATGAGTGTGGTGTGCACTGTCTGGGGGATGGGCACCCTTGTACCTCTGACTCAGGTAATGCAAAGGCAATATATGTAACCAAAGTGTTTGTACCCCCATAATATTCTGAAATTAAAAAAATAATAAATAAAAAATAAGTTTTGTTAAAAAAAAATTTTTAGTTTGCCCTAGAGATTACAATATACATTTTGAATTAATTTAAGTCCACTTTCAAATAACACTATACTACTTCATGTGTGGTGTGGGTACCCTATAACAGTATTCCAATTCTATCCTCCCATCTTTTATGGCATTACTATCATTTATTTCAATAATCCATATGCTATAATCACCCAATGAACCATTACTGTAATTGATCTATCTTTTAGATCAATCAAGAATAAAAAAGTAATTTACTCTGCCTTCATTTGTTCCTTCTCAGACTCTCTTCTTTTGTATATGCAAATCTGAATTTCTGACCTTTATCATTTTTCTTCTCCCTGAAGGACTTCCTTTAACTTTTCTTGCAGAGCAGGTCTACTGACGACAAACTCCCAATTTAGTTCTGTGTTGTTCTTGTCCATTTTGTGTCTGAGAAAGTCTTTATTTCTCCTTTACTTTTGAAGGATAATTTCACTGGATATAGAATTTGTTAGGTTTAAAGAATTCACCCTCCCCAAACTTGCATCCAAATTTCCTATAGAACCCACCCCATACCCTTCCTAGGAGTGTATTAGGCACACAGCCTTTGCCAGGCCCCTAGGGAGATAAAGGAATGAAATGCAAAAGAGGAACTTATTTTCCTTTTTCTCCTGATAAGAACAAATGCTTATCCCTGCTGGTTGTTTGAAAAGAATTTATTTACTCCTCCCAGAACAACCCTCTATAAAACCCAAGGCTCTCCCCTTTTCTCTCGTGGATGCTTTTTGGCCTCCACCCATCTGCACCCAGATGCTCGAATAAACAGCATTTTTGCTACGCCTGAGGTTTAGGCTTCTTGTGTGTGTCTCTCTCAGCTCCGGACCTAACAGAATTGTAGTTTGGTGGTTCTTTCAATATTTTGAATATTTCACTCCACTTTCATCTTGTTTGCATGGTGTCCTATGAGACATTCACCGTAATTCTTATTCTTGCTCACCTATAGATAAGGTGTTCACCTGCCCCCTGGCTTCTTTCAATATTTTTTTTATTTGTAGTTTTATGCAGTTTAAACATGATACACCTGGGTGTAGTTTTTTGGTATTTAAGCTGCTTGGTGTTCTCTGAGCTTCCTGGATCTGTGGTTTTTTGATGTCTATATTTAATTTTGAAAACTTTTCATCATTATTAATTCAAATATTTCTTCTGTTCCATTTGCTCTTTCTTATTCTTCTATACCTTTTGAAACTGTCCCGTATTTCTTACCTGTTCTCTTCAGTGTTCTTGTTCTTTTTCTTTGCGTTTCAATTTGCAAAGTTTCTATTGACATGTCTTTAAGCTCACTAATCCTTTCTTCAGTGGTGTCCCCCCTATTGATGAACCCATCAAAGTCACTCTTCATTTCTGTTTACAGGGCTTTTTATTTCTGGCATTCTCTTCTCATTTGTTCTTAGAGTTTCCATCTCTTTGCTTACATTATTCCATCTGTTCTTGCGTGTTTAATATTTTTTCCGTTAGAGCCTTCAACATATTAATCAGAGTTATTTTTATTCTCTGTTTGATTTAATTCCAAAATCATACCTGAGTCTGATTCTGACATTTGCTTTATTTCTCCAAATTGTTTTTCTTTTGTGGCTGTTAGCACGTCTTGTAATTTGTTGTTGAAATACAGACATGATGAATCAGGTAGCAGGAGAGAGGTGAAAAGGCCTTCGGTGTGAGACTATATTAATCTGGCCAGGAGCTGGGCTGTAGCTGTAAGTGCCAGAAGCTTCAGATTCCTCTAGTTTCCTTGTTTTGTCCCTCTCTTTTCTTTGTGCTTCTTTTAACAATTCTTCTTTAGACAGACTCTGTGTCTTGCCACTCTTTGAGCTATAATCCAGTTGTTATACTGGAAACCTACTGATGTGGTTGTAAGGCATGGTGGAGGGGAAGTGTTCTATAATCTTAAATTAGTCTTTTAGAGGGCCTGTGTCCCTGGAAGACAAGTGATCTTTTTTAGTCCCTCACCTCCTACCTCTGTCCCCCAGACAGGAAGGCTGGAGGAGACTGGCATCAGAGAAATGCCCTCCCCTGAGATAAGACTCAGGTAAAGTCTTTTCCCTGAGAGTAGACCTTTGCTATGGAGAATGTTCTGGGAGTATTTCCCAACGGTTACTTTTCTCCCCGGCAGCCAGAGTCACAATGGGATCTTTCTTGGCTTCATCTGAGAACCTAGTGAGGTTCCTGGAGGTAAAAACCTACAAAGGGGGAGGCTTCCCTAGCACAACAGCCCCCCAGACATTTCTCCCTCTTTTACTAGCCCACACTCAGCCTGCACCAATTTATCAAAATTATTATTTAAATATTCTATAAAAAGAAACTCAAAGTCTCAGGGCCACCGCCCCTCGCCCCAACTCCTTATGCAAAAGAGAAGGTAAAAGCCTCAGGCACCAGTGAAGAACTGGCCCCACAGATCATTCATTAAGGAAACTCCTTGCTAACCTCCCACAAACAAGGAAACGCAAATTGTACCTCTGTCTAGCATCTAAAACTAAAGCCTATCTGGTGCCACGCTAATAATGAATTACAAGTTTATCTTACAGGTAACAGAACTGAAGATAAGACAGAATCAGACATTCTTCCACCTAGCCAGGGACATCTACATAATTGATGCTTACTTTGCTCTCTTTATTTTATGTAAAATGTAGATTTCTTGGGCTCCACAAGAATGTAACCACTTTGCCTCATCAGTCCCCATCCCCTCTGCCTTTTTCCTTCTCCATGTCTGCCTTTAAAATGCTGAAGGTTCCAACTTCCCCTTCAGAAAAACAGCCACTATTTGTCTGCCGTTTGTGTTTTTCCCAGGTACGTCCTCAAAATCTTGGCTCAATAAACCTCCACTGATTGAGATTTTTGCCTCAGACATTTACTTGGGTCTACAGTTCTGGCTCCGGTGGGTTCTGTTCTAGGTAAGCAGATCTTTGCTGGGGCCCTCTGAATTCACCTGTCTCTCCAAATGTCATGGTTTGCCCTGTGACCTCCGTTCTATAATGGGTCCGATGAAGTCATTTTCAGTTTGTTCAGCTTTTTTCTTATTGTAACAATGGGGGTGATGCCTCATGAGCTCTTTACATGTCAGAACTAAATCTGGAATTTGGTTCTCTTTTATGGTTTCAATATCTCTGTTGAGATTCCCTATATGTTTACTCATTATGGCTATATTTTCCTTTATTTCTACAATCACATTTTCCTCTAATTTTTTCAACATATTTGTAACTACTGCTTTGAAGTGATTCTTTGATAAATCCAACATCTGGGCCCACCAAGAGTCAGTTTATACTGTCTTTTTTCCTGAGTATGGATCTAATTTTCTGGTTTCTTTGCGTATGTTAATTTTTGGTTGAAAACTGGAGATTTGGGTAATACATTTTAGCAACTGTGTTATGTTCTTCTGAGGATTGCTAGTTTTGTATTCTAACAGGAAGTTAACTTGCCTGGCCTCAAACTGCAAACTGTTTCGCTGTGGCTGACATCTCTGCTCAGTTCTTTCAACTTCCTGCTGTTCCTTTTTTAGCATGGTTCCCTGATTCCTTCCCTTATCTCCCTCCCCTGAATACCAGCATAATTTAGTCATCAGCCACAGATCTGGGCAGCGTTTATGCCCAAATTTTTGACCTCACCCTTTTGCAGCTCTCTTACGTTCAGGATATCCCCACTAAATTTCCAGCCACTCTGCCAGTCCTGAAGTCTGTTCTTTGTCATCTTCAAACAGTAAGGTTGTATGTTGTGCCACCAGAGCTCTGAGACCTGGGGATCATCCTCAGACCAAACAGCCACAAATTCCCGTTTCCTACCCATTCCAAGAATAAATCAATTCTAAGGACTGACTTTCCTGGTTGCTGCCTGTTTTTGGTTACTTTAAACTGTTTTCAGAGCCAGGTGCAGTGGTGTGCATCTGTAATCCTAGCTACTAGGGAGGCTGAGGTGGGAGGATCGCCTGAGCCCAGGAGTTCAAGACCAGCCTGGGCAATGTAGCAGGACCCCATTTTAAAAAATAAATAAATAAAAGTGCTTTCAAAGAGTTGGATACTTTTTTTTTTTTGAGACGGAGTCTCGCTTTGTTGCCCGGACTAGAGTGAGTGCTGTGGCGTCAGCCTAGCTCACAGCAACCTCAAACTCCTGGGCTCAAGCAATCCTTCTGCCTCAACCTCCCGAGTAGCTGGGACTACAGGCATATGCCACCATGCTTGGCTAATTTTTTCTATATATATATTTTTAGTTGTCCAGATCATTTCCTTCTATTTTTTAGTAGAGACGGGGTCTCGCTCTTGCTCAGGCTGGTCTCAAACTCCTGACCTTGAGCAATCCACCCGCCTCAGCCTCCCAGAGAGCTAGGATTACAGGTGTGAGTCACCGCGCCCGGCCAGAGTTGGATACTTTTTTTTTTTTTTAACTTTAAACAAATTTTTATTACACAAAGATTGTCACATAATTGGATATTTCTCTACTTTGCACACAATTATTCTTACTCTCCACAGAAAGGCTGCTTCTTAACTTCTCATCTGGTGATCAGAGTTGGATACTTTTAATATATTTTGTCCAGGTTTATAATTACTATCTGGTAAAAGAGTTTGACCAATCAACTCATTCCACTATTTCTGGAATTAAACTCTCCATAATTATAACTTTTAAGATGAGAGAACTCTGTGTTGCTCTATATCAGGGATCACCAACCTATGGTGAGTTGTATAATTATTTCATTATACATTACAATGTAATAATAATAAAGTGCACAATAAATGCAATGCACTTGAATCATCCTAAAATCACCCTCCATCCCTCCCGCTGCACCCCACCTCCCCATCCATGGAAAAAGTGTCTTCCATGAAAATGGTCCCTGGTGCCAAAAAGGTTGGGGATCACTACTCTATGTCATTAGAATCTAAAGTCTAGGCTGGGCACAGTTGCTTATGCCTATAATCCTAGCACTTTGGGCAGCTGAGACCAGAGGATCACTTGAGCTCAGGAGTTCGAGACCAGCCTGAGCAAAAGCGAGACCCCATCTTTACTAAAAGTAGAAAAAATTAGCCAGGCATGGTGGCACACACTTGTAGTCTCAGCTACTCGGGAGGCTGAGGCAGGAGGATCGCTTGAGCCCAGGAGTTTGAGGTTGCAGTAAGCTATGATGACACCACTACACTTTAGCCTAGATGACAGAGTGACACTGTCTCAAAATAAATAAATAAATAAAATAAAAGAATTAAGGTCTAGTGATGATCATTTACATTCAAATTCAACTTGCGTTGAATCTGTGGGTTTTTAAATAAGTGGATTTTAAAACTCTTATCTATATTGGTTTCCCAAGGTAATTTTAAGGTTTACTGTAGGAATCCCAATAATAATGAAACATCAAAAATAGTCACTAGAATGAGATTTCTGAGTAATCAAAAAAAATATATGTCAAATTTGGAGGAAAATGCAAAAAGAAAAAAATTATGCTAGCATCAATTGTTATACAAGTAAAAACTGGCTCAGAATTGCTAAGGGCAAAGAATGAGTAAAGGCGGAACCAAGACAAGGGTTAAACAATTTAGTATGAAATAGTCAGAAGTCTTTTGGCTTCATGTACAATTTTCAATCAATTTTGGACCATGAGCAAGAATTCTTCTTTCCCCATACATAAAACAAAGAAATACATACTTTCTTCACTGCATAGTCAAGTAAAAATATTCTGATATATTTTTAAGTGTTTTACAGAATGATGCTGGTTAAATCTACATTGTTTTACTTCTCATCAAAAACAAATTATCAACTTATGTTGGTTAGAAAAGCTGAAATTATAAGGCAGCCAAACTAGTCAGGCAGAAACTAGTTTCTCTTACTTAATTCACATATCGTAAGTAGAGGAGATCCACCTCCTCCTTTCTTATGCTTTGGCTACAATCAAAAAAAGGTAAAGATGAAAGATAAGGAAAGAACTGGATCAAGATTTTTTTTCTAAAAAAAAAAGATTTCAATGAATTCAGCTAATATAAAAATAATTTTCCAATACAATAGTTGTACCTTGTGCTTACCTCAAAAGTTAGACATCTGATTTTATAATCCACTTTAATCAGAGCAACATTTATGACAAGTGCTATGATAAAAGAATGACCCTGTAATCTTTCGTTTCGATTTAAAATAGAGCAATTACCGGAGGCGTAAATCTTCCCACATTTTCAGCAATCCACAGAGCATTACTATTTCGTAGTATTTTTTCCAGCATTCAACAGCCTCTGCTGCAGATGGATCTTCTTTAATATTGCTCTGATACTCAATGAGCTCGACACGCTTGCTTTTATACTTCTCCAAAGTTTTTTTAAAACGTTGTGCAATAGGACCAGGTATTGTTCCATCCTGTATTTCACACCACCTGAAAAGTATCAATATAATTATAATGATTATCTTTTATAAGGTGCTGAGTACTTTTATAAACTATACTTACAAATTAATTCTTTCTTCAATAAGAGCAGTATAATTCTCACAACTCTCTTCATCATCCCAGTCTCTCCAAAGAAAGTCATAAAAAAACCTACAATGAAACAAATTAAGATGATAGTAATCAAAACCGGCCACTACTATGTTTCGAATTAAAAAGATATTCTGATGTCATAATTCTCTACATGAATCTTAATTCTTAAGAAACATATTTTTAAATGACCTTCCAGTGAACTAAAATAAAAGATAAAACTTTAAATACGAGATGATCTAGATTCTATGTTAGGTTACTGCAAATAAGAAGATAATGTTTCTGGAAGTGAGACTGTAAAATCCAGGCTCTAAATTTCATAGATTTTGGTTATGATTTTGTTCAACAAAGAAATAATATGTAAAAGACAACCAAATTTGTTGGGAGGGTAAGAAGCATTAGAAAAACAAAAAACATGCCATAATATATTCTGTATCTTGTTTATGGATAGCTTCCCTCAAATCGTACTTATAAGAAGCAATCATAATGTGGATGATGACATCTGGTATTTGTAATGCCCTTAAATGTGAAAAATGAATTCTAATATATTTAAGATGCTTAAGTGTGAATAGAAGTTAATGCTACTTATTTCTAGAATTTGTTTTATTCAATTTCTATAAAATGCAAGAACAAAAAATGACAAACTTTTCATTACCTATATACAGTAACTCTGCAATTTTGCAACTAAAAGAGTTACACATACAATATGGTGTTTTGTTGTTTTTTAAACATGTCTCCTACAACAGAGACAAATATGTTAATTTAATATGGACAAACTTAATCCAGCAGTGAGTAAAAATTAAATTAATAAATATTTATAAAGTGCTTATGTGAGCAAAACTTACACATTAACTTTTGAATATGATTAGTTTAATTTTCAGAGGTAAAAGGGCCCTAATACCTTACAGTTTCCAAGGCCAGAGCAATATCACGTATATCAGCATCTTGTCCCTCAACAGGATACACTTCCAAGAGAGGCACACTGTGCTCCAGTTCCTCTAATATCTCATCAACCAAATCTCTTGGAATATTTGCAATGTTAGAAGAAAAGGGCTCAGCAACAGAAACAGTAACTTTGAAACAGGATGATGAGTTTTGGCTTGGTTCACAAGTTACCTGAGATAAATATTATGAGATATGTAATTATAAATGTAAGTAAACCACAAGGATTTCTTTCTTATATATGAGCTAATTATAAGATTTCTTCTTTTAAATTTTTTATGACTCCTCTAACAATCAACATATAGAATAATTATAGATCAATATTAAATAAAATATCAATAGTTTTTCAAATCCTACTTCTCAAACACATTATTTTTTAAGTTTCATGGAAGGAATTCTGTATTGCCTACATTATTTATTTTTAAGTGTGAGTTGTCAGAGGGGTCTCACTATGTCGCCCAGGCTGGAGTGCAAGTGGTTATTCATAGGTGTGATCATTGCACACTGCAAACTCAAACTCCTGGGCTCCAGCGATCCTCCTACCTCAGCCTCCCAAGTAGCTGGGACTGCAGGAGCATGCCACTGTGCCAGACCAGTATTTTTGAAAATTTTTGGACTAATTTTGCCACAAAAGCATGTTTTAAAAACCTCCTTCTATCTATATTACATCACTTGTTAAAGAAAGACTATTCCAATACCCCTAAAAAAGTAGAAAGGACATAAAGAGTAAAGTCCTTACGTTGAATAAATTTAGCTTTATAAACAACGTGTTATATTGTTTATTTGTCTTATTTCACCAAAGTGTAGTGACACCTCCAGCATTTGTCTGAAAATCCAGATTGACATTACTCAGTGTTTCAAAAATTTAATAAATTATATTAATATTAATACAAACTTTAAAATATTGGCACAAAATTGAATATTAACATAAAGATTTCCAAGATCGATTTTGAAAATTTTCGTGTTCAATAAGATTATTTTTAGGTAGAGTTAGGTAAAAAAACATTTTAAATATCAGCATTATCAGTATATATAATAATATTCATAAAAATATAAAAAATGATCATTTAAATATAGAAAATATCTTCAAATTACTAACCAAACTTTGAAATACAAATTTGATAATCAATTTAGTATAAATTCTATTCTTATAAGCAGTTATGGGACAGAAGAAAACTAGGAAAATAGAATAAAAATTTAAAACTGTGTGTCTAAAGATAATATAAATGATCTGGAATCCAAATTTGTGACAGAACAAAAATATATTTCCAAAAAGTAGTTATAAAATTTGACATTGAACCTTATATTTTAATATTTTAGTTTTGATTTTTTATCAGCATTATACATGCACATAGTTGAGAATCAAATAGCTGTACCAGGTTTGTTATGAAAAACAGAATTCCTTGACAGTCTTCTACCACCCTCTAATTTCTGCTTCTCAGACGCAACCATTTTTCGTTCTTTTAGCTGATTATTTTGACATTTACATCTTGATCTTTAAATAATATGCGTATATTGCTATTTGTAGTTTTGTTCGGTTTTTGGCATTAGATATTGACTTCCCACTCTGAAAGATAACAATTTAGTTGTCTTTTTCATTTTCCCTCTTCTTCATCACATAAATTCACCCTCTCCTGGCCCTCCACTCCCCAACATGGTTAAATCTGAGTATTCTGCATTTACCTTAATATGCTTGAAAATGTCACTCACAGGTGAGCCATATAGTATAAGCTGGTTACACTTTCTTCTCCTGCACAAATTTTGTTTTCCCAGGAGTCAATAATTATACTGTTTTTTTGCTTGCTTGATTTTCTATGTGACTTTTCTTAATTTAACCCCAAATTCCTTAAGTTCTGAAAATCTTGTGATAAGTACAAACACAATAAATTGTGTTTGAAATAAAATATTTGTTTTATTTTTCTTGAAGTACTCCTTTCAGAGTTCTCTGACTAGTTCCAATCTGAACTAGCGCTCTGGGCCTGCTATGTACATAGCTGTTACCTCATTGCCATCATCCTGGGAATTCCTTTTGCTTTTCTCTTATGGTTGTTTCTCTGCATTTTAGATCCGATGTCTTCATATGTCTTGATTTATGCCCCTGACTGCAGACGACATCCATTAACTTACTGAGAGAGGGTGCATTGGACATAACTTTTGAGAGCTTACATATTTGAAAATGTCTTTTTTTCTACACTTAACTTACAGTATGACTGGGTATAGAATTCTAGGGTAAGGTATTACTTTCTCTGAAATTTTTGAAAATATATTTTCATAGCCTTTTAAAATTAAGAATTACCATTGAGAAGTCTGATGCCATTCTGCCTCTTGATTCTTTACATGAATCTTTTTTTTTTTCTGTCTCTGGTATCTTCCTGAACCTTCTCTTTGGCCCTAGCAGTCTAAAATTTCACTAAGTGAGCCCTTTCAGTCTAGAAATTCATATTCTTTGGTTCTGGGTAACTTTCACAATCTGACAATTTGCTTTCTGCTGTTGTTCTTGCCCCCAACTCCTCCCCATCCCCTGACCCTCTCCCCCTCCCCTTCCTCCTCCTCTCCCTCTCTCCCTGTCTCCTCCCACCCCAACATTTATTTAGATGTTAGACAAGATCCCCTAATTCTTTCCCTTTTTTCCTTTCCATTCGTTAGTTCTTTAGCTCTACTTTGGGGAGATTTACTCAACATTATCTTTCAATGCTTCTAATCCTGCTATTTAGTTTTTAATTTCTGCTATCCTATTTTTAATTTCCAAAAGTTCTTTCTTTCTTGGAATACTCCCATAATATAGGTTCCAGTTCTTGTTTTGTGGATGCTTTCTTTGTCTTTTCCTTCTGAGACTATTAATAGATTTTTAAGTATATTTGTGTATATTTTTTTCTTCTCCCCATCATTTCTGTTTCTTCCAAACGTCGTCTTTTATGCTGGTTTTGACCACTGCTTTGATAGTAGCGTTTCTCCTAATATCTCTTGACCCAAATATGTCTGCTTATATTTTGGAATAGAGCACCAAAAAGGTGATTTTGGAAGGTCTGTGTATATGGGTGAAACAAATCCCCCATGGGCTTCACTGTAGGATGATCTGCTCAGGCTCTTTCCATGGGAACTCCATATACCAGTATCACTAGGTCTTTTCTTTTGATCTGATCACACAAGAGTCTTCCAAATCTTATTCCTGGAGGGATATGCCTTAGCTGCCTGTGTTCTAGAAGCAGAGCTGGGGTAGAAGATAGAGCATCCCAACATTCAGTACCAGTAAACTTTCACTTAATTCCCTTTTCCTCATTGGGGTACACCCACCCTTAACCATGCTTTTCAAGTTGGCTTTCTACATCTGTAGGTTTGTATTTTTTGCCAAATTTGGGAAATTTTCAGCCATTATTTCTTTGACTTTTTTTCAGCCCCATTTGCTTTCTTCTCTCCTTCAGAGACTCTGAAGACATGAATGTTACGTCTTTTGCTATAGTCCAACATGTCCCTGATGTTCTGTTCATTTTTTCTTTCAGTCTATTTTCTCTCTGGTTTTCCAATTTGATAATTTCTATTTTTCTATCTTTAAGATCACTGATTTTAGTCCTGTCTGCCTCTGCTTTTTTTTTTTTTTTTGGTCTACACCTGTTGGTGTTTCCAGGTTAGCTAGGTTAACTAAAGGTTAGCTCCTCTAGTACCCAGTCTAGGATATATGAAGCAAAAAGAGAGCCCAGGAAACTTACTACCTTGTTGTTCCTTGGGTCATGAGGTCCCTAATCAATCTACTTTCTATCCATCTTTCAGAATTGTCTTATGTTTGTTTTATATACATAATGCAGAGTGTTTGGCTGTACTTAATGAGAGGAATATGGAAAACTATGTCTACTCCATCTTCCTGGAAGCCCCTGTGTCTTAAACAGCCTTTCAAGCAGTTCTTCCTTCTCAGCTCCATCTTCATTTTCAGAGAGGGGCAGGGAACCTGCGGCCTCAAGGCCGTATTTCAATCTTTAAAACAACTAATAATTTCATTCAAAAAGAACAAAGATCAAATAAAATTTATTTACCTCAACCAGTATACCAACAAAAGGTATAGAAGCTTCATCATATTTCACAAAGAATAATTCAGGATTAGTCTTCCAGACTCCAAACCATTTGTCTTTCGACTTTAATTTTTCTGATAGGTATTTACTCATAGCCTCATCAGCATCTTCTGCCTAACAGAAGAAAAAAAATGTACATGTATGAATATGTGAAATTATAGATTTATAATTATCTTTACTGATTTCTATTTTACAATGGAACCGATATGGCCTTAAATAATGGAAAACCTGGAAAATTATAGATTTTAACTAAAACTATATTTAACGGGAAAATATCATAAACATTAAAAAATTAAAATAAACTTAAAGAGATCTATTCACTCAATAGAGTAATTCAGAGATGAGATATCTACTTACTTATGTCTTCGGAAGAAATATAATTAAACAAATTAAAAACAAAGTAATTACCACATTAAAAAACAGGTAGTTATTTTTTCTGAACTTTAAAAATGTAATGACCTATTTAAAACATTTCATTCATAAAAATTTAAAATTGCACTCTGTCCTATAACACAAATGAGGATATTAAGCATTCAATAAATATTTGCCCATTTGATTTTTTAGTTTAAATTCAGCTACCTCTTAATGATAACCTAGCTATTATGAAACTCAGTCATTAGATACTGTCTGATTAATGACATAATAATTATATAAATATTTTTCCACCGCCTATGACAGACCTGGTTTTCTCCAACCCTCAATATCAGATGTAGGTTGGTCATTAAATACTGTCCTGGTTTTATGGATATGGTGGGTTTTTTGTTGTTTTGTTTTTGTTTTTAGAAACAGTCTCACTCTGTCTCTGTCACCCAGGCTGGAGTGCAGAGATGGGACCATAGCTCACTGTAACCTCAAATTACTGAGCTCAAACGATCCTCCTGTATCAGCCTCCAGAGTAGATGGGACTGCAGGAGCACACCACCATGCCTGGGTAGTTTTTCATTTTACTTTTTGTAGAGATGGGGTCTCACTATGTTGCCCAGCCTGCTCCTGAACTCCTAACCTCAAGTGATCCTCCCATCTCTGCTTCCCAAAGTGCTGGGATTACAGGTGTCAGTCACCATGCCTCGCTGAGATGGTGTTTTTAAAAATAAAATTGTCTTCTGATTATAAAATACAGTAAACCTTGGGAAAATATTAATAGACAGAAAATATAAAGAAAACAAAAATCCCCCCTCATCCTGGCAGCCAGAGATAACCATTGTTGATATTTTGGTGTATTTCCTTCCAGTATTTTTTCTGTGCATATACTTATCCATACATATGGATCATGTTTTGTTTTGTCTTCCGGGTTTTTTTTTAAAACTTAATTATAACATAAGCAAATCTATAGTTCTTGAAAACATGATTTTTACAGCTGCATGGTTTTCCACTATATGAAACCACTATAATAAATCTTTCACTGCCCCCGTTGGAAATTTAGTTTCTCGTTTTTATTTTGTTTATAAATATCACTGTAATGAATATCCTTTTACACAAATTCTTCTGCTATAACTTAAAAAAATAGGTTAGAAACATGCAATATTTGCTTTATTCAGTGTTAATGGGTATTTTTAATACAAAACATCATGCCACATCCTAGATTGCCTTCTGGAAACCACTCTTAAAGTGTAAACATTTCTAGCATTCTAGTGTAAAAGTCAAGGCTAAGTAATCTTACCCTTATGTTTGGGCACAAATTGTTAAATAAAAATACTAAGATGCCTGCCTGGGCAATGATCAAGCCGTACATATCTTCATCTTTTAGGGGCTCTCAGAAAACACTTTATCTGGTCTAATCTTAACTCCTCCCTGATAGGATCTGGGTACCTCTAATAAGGTGAAAAGTTCTATAAATGTTGAGTCAATTTGATTTTTTGAAAGGCGGCTTTTCTTTGCGCCCTTTGTACCCCGTCACCCTGAGAGGGAGATCGGCCTCCGCCAGGGCGCGTCTCCTGCAGGCCCCGGGCTGGATTCCGATCCGTTTTCCTTCTTCCCCTTCTCCTCACCTTACAGCCCTGCAGCACCACGTCGCAATACAGCGCCACCTTCTCGTCCCGCCACATGCCCCTCATGGGGGACACGCAGACGGGGGGCAGCGGCTGCGCTTCCTCCTCCTCAGGCACTGGGAGAAGGGGCTCCCCTTCCTCCTGCGCGGCCGCCTCCCCCGGACCCTCAGCCTCAGAGTCCCGCAGGAGCTGGAGCCGCCGCCGGGCCGCCTTCGCCTTCACCGAGCGCGGGGAGGCCACCACGGAGCGCACCCGCGACGCCGCGCTCTTCAGGGCCGCCGCCGCCACCGTGTCCCCGGGGTACGCGTAGACAACCTTCTCGCCCCCCCTGCCGGGGCTGACGGCTCGGACTGCGTCTGCAGGTACGGTAGCCCTGGACCCCGACGCCATCTCCGTGGCGCGCTGACGGCCCGCTGCAGCCGTTGGCCGCGTTTCCCGCGCTGCGCCTGCAGGGCCCGCCACGAGCGCGGGGGGCTCGAGGGGGACCCGCCAGCGGGGTGTCGGGCGGGTGGGGACGCGGGGCGCGGCTCAGGGCGGGGCGTCGGGGGTGCAGAGCCCAGTGGGACCCGGCGGGGCGCCCGGGCTCGGGACAGGTGTGGGGCAGGCAGGGTGCCGTGTCCACACCAGCCCGGTGCGAGCGGAGCCCCAGCGCACTCGCTCCAACCCCATCCCTTTCTCCTTAGAACCATCCAGCGACAGAATTCCCTCTCCAAGGAGGTATTTCCTTAGGGTCCGCGTAGGTTTTGGGGTGATTGGGAGTCACCCTCCAGGCCATCGGGGCCTAACAAATGCTCCACCTGCCACCTACACGCACACGTATTTGCACAGACACAACCTGAATGAAAATTTATTTTCATACCGGTGGGTGGTAGTCACTGGAACCCTCTGGGGGTTACTAGAGGGAAGGCTAGTGACAAAGCCAGCGACCTAGGTTTTACCCCTACCTATTTACACGGCTCCCCGAATCAGGTTTCCTTTGCATTTTAAACAGGACGCTCACTTTTTGCCATGATGATAATACCAAGGACAGTTTAGTCTGTTTTCTTGTCTCAAAAGTCTCACACGAAAGATTATATTATGTAACTGTTAAACTAGATGGAAACTTCCAGCTGGGAGTGATGAGTGCAAACTACGAACGTTTTCACAGTAAAAGTCTGCTCAGGAGAACACGTTTTGGAGTACAACAGACACCACTCATTTCTGGTATTTTACTATTGAATGTGCGTTGAGCCAACTGGAACGAGATTTGTTTACCATCTAGCTGTGAAATATCGCAGCGGGGCTGACAGCCCCCAAGGAGAACAGCTTTGGGGAAACACCTGCCTTCCTTCACACTCATCTGGAAGGACACTGTGTTAAAATTCTGAGTTTGTTTTGAGGAAGATATTAGTATTAATTTCATGTTACTGGAGTTCAGGGAATAATTACAACATTCATCATGTTTTTGGCCCTATTCTTAGTTTATTCCCTTTGTCGAGAGTTCTGGACTTTGTTTAAAATGGTACCTAACTATACAGATTTCACTTACCAAAACTAAAAACTATTGCTCTAGTGTTTCTTCCAAAAAGTTTGTTTTTAATAAATTATGGGTTTTTAAATTCTTAGGTTAGCAATAATAAAGATCACCTGTTCTGACACAAAGTTAAAAAACAACAGCCCCCTTTCCCCCAAAAAGCAAACAAATATTTGTTAAGAACCTGTTATGGGCCAGGCAATGCATAGATGCCAAAGTTATAGAAATAAAAGATAGAATTCTTGCCCTTGTTATCCTAGTGAAGGGTACAGATGGGTCAATAGATGATTATGTTTGGTAAGGACCATGATTGTATTTATATATAAATAAAAAGCATATATTGTGTATATGCACATATTTTTAAATATACATTGTGGAAGAAAGGGACTTTTCTTCCCAGAAGAATTTATACTTAGGCCGAGTCTTTTAAAAAATAACTTTTATTGCGTTTTATTAATTATGAAAGCAATGTCCACATCCTGAGCCAATTTGGACAATACAGAAAAGTATAAGAAAGAAGAAAGCCTAAATCGGCTTTAATTTTAATGCTCAGCCATAACTACTGTTAGATTTTGGTATATTTTCTTTTAATATTTTTTCCTATTATATTTTTCAAAGTTTAAATCATATTAAGTTTTAAACTTTATTTTTCTATATAGTATAAGCATTTTCATATAATTACAAATTACTTATAAACACATAATTTTCAATAGCATACAATTGTTTGGATGTGATTTGTACAACCCTATATTTTCAAGTGTTTGGGTTACATTAATTTTTATAATATCAAATAAGCCATTTTGAATATCTTTATGCATAAGTTTTTGCCATATATCAGATTTTTCACTAGGGGAAAATGGGCTTGAGTCAAGATGTGTAAACATTTTAAGGCCCTCAGTACTACCGAATTGTTTCCCAAAAAGGATGTATTAATTTCCCCTTCCGTTAGCAGATTAACTTCCAGGTTGGCTGAGTTTTAAAAGAGAAGTAAGCTATAGGTATCTTAGGCCTGGGTGGAATAGGGATGCAATAGGGTAAACATTCCAAGCAGAGAGAATAATTGTGGTTTTACACAGGGGTAAAAGACTTGGTCTAGATAGCTTAGTATGACTGGAATAGAGAGGACCAACTGGGATAAAAATTTAGGTTGGAGAGATAAGCAAAAGCCGTATGACAAAGAGTCACCTATATTATTTTTAGTTGAATTCTAGCCATATTGATAAACTCTCCCTTGTCCAACTTTATGTTCCTCTCCCTGCTCCAGCACCCTCAGTATTCATTCCCGTATAAACTATCCGAGCACCTGCCAGTACATATTGACTCGCTCCTTCGGTGTCTAGTCCTTTTCCTCCCTCAGCCAACCCAGCAGTTCCCTGGCTGGATCATGTTGTATCTTAACCCTGTTTATCAGACTAGTGGGCAGGGGTGGGTCCTCAGAAGTGGTGTATGTCGTCTTCAGAAGCAGAAGCCTATGTGCCATCTTCAAGCACGGGGGACTCTAGCCTTTGATGGGAACAAGTGAGCCCAGAGGGTTCAGAGGAATCTGGGGACTCAATACTTTCAAGTGCATCAACCAAGATGTCCCCATCGCATCCCAGGATCCCACCCCTTCCCCATCAGGACCTGACTTTGGTGTAGCAGTCCTGCTCAGACTAAGAACTCAACTTTCTCTGAAACTCCATTATCCTCATAAAAACCTGGAACTCAGGTTTTTCTGCCCTCCAGCAGGAAATGAGAGTCTTTCTGTGTGTTACAGTGAAGGCCTTCTGGCTTTCACAGTTCACCTTAAATTGGTAATTAATCACCTCAGTCTGTTTTTGTCTTTTTGCCAATAAATTAATAAGACCCAACAAGAGACATTTGATTCCATAGTTCTTATAATTACTACTTCCACAAAACTTCTCAAAGTCCTGAGGTATTACACCACCAGTGCATTTCCTTCCCTTTCACTGACTCTAAAGATTTTAATAATTGCATCTGCATAGCACGCTAGTAGCTACTGGTATTCTACCTCCAATAGCCCAGTGTCCTCATTCACGGTGGACCAGCAGGTGAGCCAGCTCCAAAATGTTATCTTATAGCCTGTTTCCATACCACCTGTCTTGGGTTGCGTTTCCTGGGAAACAGACTCTGAAGCAAGAATTTGCAGAAAGAGGTTTTGGGAAAGTGCTTTTGAGAATGATACCTGTAAGGGATAGGGAAGCAAGAATGAGCAGAGAGTTACTGGTTATTGAAATGCAGAGCGTTTGTGACACAGCCCTCGGCCATTCCTGCTGAAGCCGTTCCTTCAGAGTTGTCCTGTATTAAGGCAAGGGGGTGGGCTTTGCATCTCTGCATCTGCCAGTCACCGGGTATGGGCTGCCTGCATAACCTTGACTGTGGCAGATCTCGTTGGCTGAAGGTAACTCCCAGACAGGGCTTCGGCCATGTGTCTTCAGCAGCCAGCACCTGGGAGAGTGAATGTCTTGGTCCTAAAAGGGAGATTGGGGCAGCACAGCTCAGCCTCCACTATGTGCGGTTGTCAGAACTTGGATATAACATAGAATACAACTCCACAAACGTGAACTTGATACTCAGATGAGTCGTCATCTGAGCTCTTGGCCTAGAAGCCAGGGTTAGTTCCAACATTTGAGACTATTGTCTGGAAGTCGATTCATCTTAGCTTGACAGAAAATTAGGCATCTACACTAGACTACACAGTATTAGTCACCCAGTCCCTTAGGTTGGGATTCGAGTGACTTAAGGATGGACACATTGAAATGACTTAAGGACTTGAAAAGTGTGAACATCCATATAGCTGGTCTCATTGGACTCCTTTCCTCTAGTGCTTTCTCTCAGTTCATCTCTTTGCATCTTACAATGAATGATTAAGAGTGAACTCTGGCTAGCCTGCGTAGGGTCCATGGCTTGGCTACGGTGTAACTGCAAGTTTCTCTTCTCTAAGGCCTTGCTTTCCTTCTCTGTAAAATGCAACTTACATAACAGTATCATGGGAATGAGGTTACGCAGCTCAATGTACAGCATAGTGCCTGACGCAGGATAAGGCTCTGCAGCAGTGTCAACTCAGTCTGTGCTTTCTCAGAGCGATTAGAGCAATTCTCACATTTGATTAGTGATTCTAACTAGCAAGGTCTTGTGTGCTACATGATGCCTGCTCTGTTGTATATATTAGGGGGAAACATTCATTTCCCCTCTTTTTCCTTGGAAGCGTTTCCTTGAATCGGCTCTTCCTTGCCATTGCAGCGGTAAGATGCATGAGCTTGATAGTTGAGTGGGGGCCTGGGTAGAAAGGGGAGGATGCTGCACTCTAGGAGGCTGAGGCGGGAGGATTGCTCGAGGCCAGGAGTTTGAGAGCAGCCTGAGCAAGAGCAAGGCCCCATCTCTACTAAAAACAGAAAAAATTAGCTGGGCATGGTAGTGTGTGTCTGTAGTCCCAGCTACATGGGAGGCTGAGGCAGGAAGATGGTTTGAGCCTGGGAGTTTGAGGTTGCAGTGAGCTATGATGATGCCATGGCACTCTGGCCTGAGGGACAGAGGGAGACTCTGTCTGAAAAAAAAAGGAAGAAAGGTGAGGATGCTGTCAGGCTTGTGTGGGCACTGGGGCTGAGGCCTGCTTAAGACCAGCAAGAGAGTCTTTGGTTCCTGCATACATAGATCAGTTTCTAAATTGGGTTTTTGTGGCCCAAGCCACCTGGTCTTCTCTCTCACAAGGACCTTGAATATGATGCTTGACTGTGGCAGATTGAATTTGAGAATTCTAAGGTCCTGGGCATCTTTCTTTATCTCTTATTCCTAAGGATCTGGCCAGGAGCCATTGTTTTAGCTTGCTCGTGCTGTTTTCTTCACCTGGAACGTCCTTCCTACTTGTCTCCACCTG